AAATATATATATGAAACTAGAAATGGAAAATTATTGATGATAACATACATGATTAAGCCACTATGCAGTATATTCTGGATGGGAAACCACTTTTTGTATGCTGTGATGATGATTAGGGGATGAATGTAAATTAATTAATTAAAAAAAAAGTTTCAGGGGAAAGAAACACAAAAACTATTTTTCTTGAAATTAAAAACTGCATATTTGATGACTGCAGTAAGCTAAATAGTCCCAGCTAGGTGCTACTTTATAGTATGTTCATTCTACTCACTGAGGTTTATTCCTAAAGTCAAACTTGGGTTCATAGATATGTATATATCAGCTGCGCTTGCTATTGGAAGTATTTAGGTTAATAAAGTTCATTAGCAAATAAATAAAATGGGGGGAAAAGGCATAGAAAGCAACCACGGATACCAGAGACAGTGTGAGAGGAGAGTGAGACATGGCAGAGGGTGAGGGATAGGGAATCAAGGATGGCAAAAGTAACAAAATATACAGGAAACAAGAAATGGAAAATTATTTGTTGATGATAACACGTATGTTGATGTGTTTGATTGAGCCAACATATAGTGTATTCTGTATGGGAAATCTCATTTTGCTTGCTGTAATGATGTATTGTGAATGAATGTAAATAAATAAATTTAAAATAAAAACAGGAAAAAATACTAGGTAATGCTGAGTAACACTGAAATAGCGAAAGGACTATACTAATAATGCCACAACCATAAGTCTTCCAGCTTGCTTCCTGTATCTCCATAAAAAAATTTAAAAAGTATTAAATTCCTTCCTGCACCCAAACAATACATGCCCTAGCTGGACATCCTGGATTCTATATTTTTTAAATTATTTATTTAATTTCATTTATTCATTCTTTTATTTCAATTTGAACAGACACACACACACACACAGAGAGAGAGAGAGAGAGAGAAAGAAAGAAAGCCACCAGGTCCAGGACTAGAACCATGGTCGGCCATATGGGAGTGTCCAGCACCTCAACCGCCATGCCATCTGCTGGTCCCCATGGAATACTTGGATTCTAAATCTGACTTCCACTTTCTCTCTCTGACTTGAACAAATTATTTTCTGCATGGTTTGGTTTTCTGATTTGCAAGTTGGACACGGCAATATTAGTCCTATCTCATATAATCTTGTGTGAGGTGATTGTGAGGATTCAGTCAGTTAATATATATAAAGTACAACACGGAACTAAACTTTAGTATGTTATTAGCTTTTTTTTTTTTAAGAGAGATTTTTGCTATAGGGCACGCGTACTTGCTGGAGAGATAGACGAAAAGTGAGAAGTCACCCCTCAGGGGGGATGGCCATGCCACAATCCCTTTTCCTTCATTATCCTCTCAGTATCTTGGGCATACATGCATATGTGCCCAGCATAAGTTTTAAGCCACTGAGTCCAGGACTCAAATCGTGGTCGACTACCTGGAGTCCAATGACGTAACCATTAGGCCAAATGCTGGTCACGTTATTAGTTTTCTTTTTATAATTTGCCATGTGGTACGTGTACTTGGTGGAAAGAGAGAGAGGAGTAAAGAGAGAGAAAGTAAGAAAAGTACCCCCTCCCCAGCAGGGACGACTGTGTCACAGTCCCTCCTCCTCCACTCTCCTCTCTAGGTTTTGGGCACCCATACACATGTGCCGGATATGTTTTTTAAGCCACTGGATCCATGCAGTCGGCCATGGGGATCCAACCACCTTAACCTCCACACCATCTGCTGGCCCTATTATTATCTTTCTAAAGCTTAATTTACTGATCTTTGGGAGTTATCGAGTGTGACCTGTTTCTAGGGTAAAGACTTGAATCTACCTGGTTCCTGTCATTTCAAATTTCACTTAAGTAAAAACTCCAAAAACATGTTTTTAGAAACATGCTACCTGTGCCTGTAAAATCCATTGAATCCTCTGAAGTGACCTAAATCTGCTGTTAGCATCAAAGAAATTTTGCAATGGGGATGGAATGGAAGGGTATTTTTCATTCAAACCCAGCAATGACATTATTTCATGGCAATCTAATATGTATTCTTGAGCAACTTACTACAAATATGAACATTTCAGATGTTAGTCACTAAATGACACATTTTTTCCAGGAAGAATAACTGCATCATAGTCTATGCAGCCAATGAATAAAAGGGCAAGAAAGGGATTTCATAAGTATTATGAAATTTAAGACCAGGAATTGCACGGTCTTAAATTAGACATAACTAACCTCTTTTCCACAGGGGAGCTGTTTCTCAATAAACTACAGGATACAGGATGAATGATACAAGTTGATGCTATCAGAACCAGCAGGTGGTGTAGTAGTTAAGGTGTTGGTCTCCTACATAGTCCACTGCAGTTTAAGTCTTGGACCTGGCAGCTTGAAACTCATGCTGGGTGCGTGTGCTTGTGTGACCAACATCCTCAGAGGAGAATGGAGAAGGTAGTGTGGTATGGCCATCACTTATGGGGGGTGGTGGTGATTTCTTGCTTTCCGTCTGTCTCTTCACCAAGTGTACACAGCCTATGGCAAAAGTCTCTCTTAATAAAGGGGAAAAAACATTGATGCTATTTAACTAATCTTTTGTTATATATACATATACATAGAGAGAGAGAGAGACATACTTAATTTTATTTAGTAGTAGTAGTAGTAGTAGTAGTATTCAGTTTTACCAGAGAGAGAGGGAGATTGATAGAAAGCTAGCCACCAGTTCTGGCACCTGAACTGTGATCAGCCCTGTGGGAGTCCAGTACCCTTAACCACCATGCCAGGCCCCAATCTTTTGTTATATTTTGATGCCTGTTTTTCTGAAAATATTATTTAAGTGCCAGGGTTCATTTTTTATTAGCGGATTTCTCTTACTCATTTAATAATAAAGCCATTAGCTAGGTGGGTATAATTTATAGATTCCATTTCAAATTATGCTAGACAGTTTGGTTTAAATGGTCCTTGGGGCTTTTTTGTTACAGTTTTTCCATCTTCTGTTGTCTCATGAGCTATCACTTGATATCACAGTCCTTCTCTCTGCCTCCAGCAGCATTCCAGATTTGCTGCCTCTGATCTACTGAGAAGCTTGCTAGGACTGTTTCTAATAAAAGTTCAAAGTAAAAACTTCAGAGTTTGCTTTGTTTAAAGAAGCGTCTGCAGACCAGCAGCCTAGCATCACCTTTGTTAGAAATGTAGACTCTTGGGCATGCCTCCAGACCTACTGAATCAGAATTTACATTTTAACAAGATTCCCATGTGATTTGTATACACGTTAAATTTTATTTATTTATTTATTTTTTGGAGAGATTTTCTCTATAGGGCGCATGCGCTTGCCAGACAGACAGAGAGACATAGAGACAGAAAGCAAGAAATCACCCCCCAGGGGGGATGGTCACGCCGCAATCCCTTCTCCTCCATTCTCCCCTCTGGATCTTGGGCACGCACGCACACATGCCTGGCATGAGTTTTAAGTCACCGGGTCCATGATGCGAACCACGGTCAACTACGTGGGAGTCCAGCGACCAAGCCATTACGCTAACTGCTGATTCCCTTGTATACACTTTATAATTTGAAAAGTCCCACTTTAGCACCTCAACTTTGTAAAATCTTGTTTTTCCTTCCTTCCTTCCTTCCTTCCTTCCTTCCTTCCTTCCTTCCTTCCTTCCTTCCTTCCTTCCTTCCTTCCTTTTAATTTTATGTAGGGCGAGTGTGCTTGCCAAAGAGAGAAATTAAGAAACCACCCCCCAGGGGTATGACCACACCACAGTCCCTTCTCCTCCATTCTCTCAGGATTTTGGACACACATGCACATGTACCCAGTGTGTCTTCCAAGCTGTCAGTCCAGGACTCGAACAGCACAGTCAGACATGTGAGATCCAGCTGCTTTAACTACCATGCCACTGGCAGACTCAGTTAATTTTCCTATTTTGAGGTCTTTTTTATTATTATTATTACAAATTGTGCTTTGCTGTGTTCTAGGTTATTTAGCATGCAAAAAATATTTTACCCACAGACATTTACAACTAGAAGTGTTCTAATGTTTGACAACAATTAATTGATTTAACATTTTATTTTCTCTCCCCTAGGATATTCCTGGTGATCCTGGAAGAGTTTGTATCATGGAATCAATATCTATGATGGGAAGCCCTAAGAGCCTTAGTGAAACATTTTTGCCTAATGGCATAAATGGTATCAAAGATGCAAAGAAGGTCACTATAGGTGTAATTGGAAGTGGAGATTTTGCCAAATCCCTGACCATTCGACTTATCAGATGTGGCTATCACGTGGTCATAGGAAGTAGAAACCCTAAGTTTGCTTCTGAATTTTTTCCTCATGTGGTAGATGTCACCCATCATGAAGATGCTCTAACAAAAACAAATATAATATTTGTTGCAATACATAGAGAACATTATACCTCCCTGTGGGACCTGAGACATCTGCTTGTGGGTAAAATCTTGATTGATGTGAGCAATAACATGAGGATAAACCAGTACCCGGAATCCAATGCGGAATATTTGGCTTCATTATTCCCAGATTCCTTGATTGTCAAAGGATTTAATGTTATCTCAGCTTGGGCACTTCAGTTAGGACCTAAAGATGCCAGCCGGCAGGTATGTATTTTTAAATTTTATTCTTATTTAGTATTTTGTAGTTAAACAGTAAGCAAATATCAGACATTTAAAAAGAAAATTCTGAAACTCTCCAATGATTTTCATTTCAAAAACTGTATGAGCCCCTGACAGTTAATGTCCTGGCTTTGTAAGGACACATTTATATTCCCCAAATGATGTGGAAACCTGAGAAAATAATGTGGACTTTTGTGTCATAACCAGTTAATTAAAGGGCAAGGTACACTGGTAAATAATGTGACACATGGCATTGAGTCTCTCTTGGCTTCCTCAGAAACAGAAGCAATAACAAACAAGTCTTTTTCTTTTCCTCTTTTTTCCCTCCCTTCATTCCTCCAGGCCTTCTTATAGTTATTTTGTAACACAGTACCGCATCTCTGAAGGAAATACTATTTCATATGACTCTCCAGGAGAGTGCTTTAGGAGTATATTTTAAAGGGACCAGCAGTTAGCATAATGCAATGTCTCTGAACTCCCATGTAGCTGACTGCGGCTCGAGTCCCGGACCCGGTGGCTTAAACTCACACCAGGCTTGCGTGTGTGCATGCCCAAGATCCTGAGAGGAGAATGGAGGAGAGGGGATTGTGGCATGGCCATCCCTCCTGGAGGGGAGGAGGGTGATTTCTCACTTTCCATCTCGCTGTCTCCCTCTGTCTTTCTGGCAAGTGCATGCACTCTATAGCAAAAACCTCTCCAAAAAAAAAAGTATATTTTTAAGTATAGATTTTAATTTATGTGGGGAAGGCAGAGCTACCATATAAGTCTATAGGTGATACTTTACCTGATTCAACTTGAAAGCAACTGGGAGTTCTGTCAATGCTTTTGTGGAATAAGAGCTTTTATAAGTAAAACGTAAAATAGTGCACCTTAAAAAAATCTTTTAGGCTCAGCCATAGTGTCATGGGCTGCTAAGATGCTGTGCTCCTCAAGGTTCAATTTCCAGTCCAGCCACAGGCTGGGGCAGTGGTATGTCCCTATAATCCCAATGACTGGGGAGGCTGAGGCAAGAGGTTCCCAGATTTGAGGTTGGCTTGGGCAGCATAGCAAGATCTTGTCAAAAAGAGCCAGGCGTGGTTGCATTCTCCTTAGCTGGGAGGTCAAGACAGGAGATCACAACATGGCAAAAGCCTATCTAAAAACAAGGATCTCAGCTAGCCCCATAGGCTAATGGCTGACCACAGTTTGAATCCTGGCCCCAGAAAACATGCTGGACACATGTGTGTGCATGCGCAAAATCCTAACACAATGAAAAAATGGAGAAGGGACTGTGGTGTGACCATACCTCACTGATGGGATGCTTTCTCCCTGCCCTCTGTTTCACTCTCTCTGGCAAGTACATGTCCCCTCTGACAATTAAAAAACAAATTTCTGGGGACCAGTTGGTGTAATGGCTATGTTGCTGGACTCCCATGTAGTCAACTGCAGTTAAAGTCCCAGACCTGGTGGCATAAACTCACACCAGGTGCGTGTGCCCAAGATCCCAAGAGGAGAATGGAGGAGAAGGGATTGTGGTGTGGCCATCCCCCCTGGGGGGTGATTTCTCGCTTTCTGTCTCTGTCTTTCTGGCAAGCACACACACCCTATAGCAAAAACCTCTCCAAAACAAACAAACAAATTTCTGGGCCAGTTCTGTACATAAGGAGTTGGATCCCACATGGCCAACCAGAGTTCAAATCCTGGTGGCTTAAAAACACACTGGGTGTGGGTATATGTGTATGTATGCCAAAAACCCTCATGGGATGGAGAAATGGAGGACTGCAACATGACTATACCCTACTGTGAGAATTTTCTCTCTTTTCTCTTTCTGGCAAATGCACACAATCTCTAGCAGTAACAAAACAAAATCTTTCAAAGGTATGTTTTTACATTATAATTACACATGATGATAAAATACCTTTTCTTTTGTCTATAAAGAGAGATGATTAAAATTCTTAGAAAATATAAATGATCTTGGAGTTGGCAGGTGGCATGATGGTTAAGGGTGCTGGATTTCCATGTGGCCAACTGGTTCAAGTTCTGGACCTGAGGGCTTGCTTTCTCACTTTCTCTTTTTTCAAAAAAAGAAAATATAAGCAACCTTTAAAAAGTTCATGGAAAATGCATGCTATGAAAAAACTATGAATAGATTTCAGGGTGTTTTTTGTTGTTGTTTTTTTTCCCCCACTAAAATGAACTCATAAGAGTCAGATGACAATGCATTGGTAAAACTTGACAACTCTACAAGGCAATCCGATATGGGGAAAGTTCCCAGTTCAAATCCAGTAATCTCCCTGAGTACACTGAGGACATGTTTGCCTATGGCCAAAGGCTGGGAGTAGATCAGGACATCTACCTGTTGGGGTGCTGTCTCTTTCTTTCTCTCTTGCTCATGGAATAAATTAATAAACTTTAATTAAAAAACTCATATTTGAATCCCATTTTTGCATGGGCTTTTTGTAGTCCCCCCATGTTACCTATTAGTCATGATAACCATTCACTTTCTCATCTTTTTTTTTGTTTTGCTTTGCTTTGTTTTGCTATAGGTGTGTACACTTCCCAGAGAGAGAGACAGAAAATGAGAAATCACCCCGCAGAGGGGATGGCCATGCTATAATCCCTTCTTCTCCATCCTCCTCTTGGGATTTTGGGTGCATATTTTGGACTCCAACCACACAGTTGGCCATGCAGGATCCATCTGCCTAAACCACTATGCCACCACCTGGTCCTGTTTGTGAACATTTTTTCATTTTTTTTAAGTTTATTTATTTCTTCCATGACAGAGAGAAAGAGAGAGATACCTAACAGGATCTTCATGCTGTGATCCACCCCAGTCTCAGCCAGCCCCAAATCATGGGCATACACATATGTACTTGGTTGGTACAGGAAGGAATGCCTCAGGATGCAAATCCAGGACTTTCCCATATGTGTCCAGTTACATAATTACTGCACCATAATCTAGTTTATAATCTTAATTTTCTTTTTTTAGAGTTTTTTTCCCTTAGGGCACATGCACTTGCCAGAGAGAGACAGACAGAGATAGTGAGAGAAAACATGAGAAATCACCCCCATTCTGGGGGAATAGCCGCATCGCAATCCCTTCTCTTCCATTCTCCTCCTGGGATCTTGGGCATGCACACACATCCACCCAGCATGAGTTTCAAGCTACTGGATCAGGGACTTGAACCCCAGTTGGCCATGTGGGAGTCCAGTGGTGTAACTGCTATGCCATCTGCTGGTCCCTATAATAATTTTTAACAGGATAAAGTTGTGAAATGGCAATTAAATTGAAAAGGAGGGCTAATTGGTGGCATGGTGGTTAAGGCAGCTGAATTCCAGCTGACTTCACAGTTTGAGTCCTAGACTTAGAGGCTTGAAAAATAGGCTGGGTGCATGTATGTGCATGCCCAAAATCCCTAAAGGAAAAAGAAATGGAGAAGGGACTGTGGCTTTGCTGCCCCACTATGGATGTGCTTTTTCACTTTCCCTCCCTGTCTCTCTCCAGAGAGAGCACCTCTGGCAAATGAAAAAAAAAAAAATCACAATGAACTACAGAAATTGTTTCATTTGTATTCCATTGTGCTGTGCTATTACTTGAATGTTTAACTTATACTTTTAATTTAATATAAAATTTTATAATTTACAGACTTTTCAAAAGAGTAAAACATGTTTACTCCACCACCGTCATACTATAATAAATTTAGAGTGCTCTTCCTTATTTGTAGTTTTTGTAAACAACAATATTAATGAAGCATCTTTTTGTGTTTTCCACAGGTTTATATATGCAGCAACAATATTCAAGCTCGACAACAGGTTATTGAACTTGCCCGTCAGCTGAATTTCATTCCCATTGACTTGGGATCATTATCATCAGCCAGAGAGATTGAAAATTTACCCCTCCGACTATTTACTCTCTGGAGAGGGCCAGTGGTCGTAGCTATAAGCCTGGCCACATTTTTCTTTCTTTATTCCTTTGTCAGAGATGTGATACATCCATATGCAAGAAACCAGCAGAGTGACTTTTACAAGATTCCTATTGAGATTGTGAATAAAACTTTGCCTGTAGTTGCCATTACTTTGCTGTCACTGGTATATCTGGCTGGTCTCCTGGCTGCTGCTTATCAGCTTTATTATGGCACCAAATACAGGAGATTTCCACCCTGGTTGGAGACCTGGTTACAGTGCCGAAAACAACTCGGATTACTAAGTTTTTTCTTCACTGTCGTCCATGTTGCCTACAGCCTCTGCCTACCAATGAGAAGGTCAGAAAGATACTTGTTTCTCAACATGGCTTATCAGCAGGTATTGAACATGCTTATTATTTGTCTGACTCTCGTAAAATACTTTATTAGTATAAATTTGTGAAACTGTAAGATTTAAAAATGTAAAATTTCACATACCTTGTAACGAAAATTTTCTTTTGATATATTCAGGAAAGAATTATTCTTTCTACAGCATTTTTGCATAAGAATTATTGGGTGGTCAGAAAAGTCATGACACATTTTTGCATAGAAAAATATGTCATGATTTTTCCAACAACCTAATAATTGGCTAATTCAAAATCATTTAAGGTTAAAGTTGCTACCTTCCCCTTCTTTGCAGAATAAAGAGAAAAGTAAAGGGTTGTCTTTTTCTATTTGTTTTTCATGCTGTTTTCTAAATCTTAGGATTGCAATGATTGCTTCCAGCATTGAACAATGAATTATCTTAATGTTTTATAAATAGGCATGGCCCACAAGCTAAGGCAAATCTCAAATACACATATGACAAAATTAGAGCCAGTGTAAGTATAAAATGAATAAGAGGGCTGGCAGGTAGTGTGTTGGTTAAGGCACTGGACTCCCACATGGTCAACTATGGTTTGAGTCCTGGACCTGGCAGCTTTCAGACCTGCCAGCTTTCTAACTTTCTCTCTCTCTCTCTCTCTTTAGTAAATGCATGTCCCCTATAGTAAATTTTAAAAATAATAATTAATAATTTTTTTAAAAAATAGGAAATCAAAACCAGGAGAAATAAAAAAAGTGGACTACACTTCCATTGACTAGGAGTGTGAGGACAAAATTCTACTTTTTCATATTCCAAAGTTGTTCCAAAGTGACCTGAGATAGTCAACCCTGCAAAGCTTAACAGAGGCCTACAAACATTAACAGACCAGCTGGTAATGGGATGCTATATCCTATCCCAGGCATAGTTTTTTATGATGCATTGTAAGCCGCCTTATCTCTTGGAGTAAAGCACAAACATTCTTTTGCTGATTTTTTTCAGGAATAGAGACTTCTAATTTTAATCAATTACTAATGTAAGAATTTCAAACTCACTTATAAACTACAAGCCTCCACTTCCAGATTTCCACCTTTTTGGGCTGGGCCCATGTAAAAGACTCTTTATGCTGATTGTCACTCTCCTGCTCATGAAACTATATAAAAGGAATCACTTTATCTCAACACCCCAAGAAAGACATGCTTGCCTTTCTCAGGCCAGTCACTCAAATTTCTGCTTACTAATAAACCACATTAAGGAGCTAGCAGATGGTGTAGTGGTTACATTGCTGAATTCTCACATGGTCAATTACAGTTTAAGTCCTGGACCCAGTGGCTTAAAACTCATGTCAGGCGTGTGTGCGTATGTGCGCAAGATTCCAAGAAGAGAGTGGAGGAGAAGGGATTGTGGCATGGCTATCTCCTTTAGGGGCTGATTTCTCACTTTCTCTGTCTCTCTCTGATGAGCACACATGCTATAGACAAAAACTCTTAAAATAAACCACATTCATTATTTCTACAGAGTTGGTTATTTCCATTGACCATTTTGGTTTTGAGATTTCTGATACAATGAAAAGGAAGGCATTTATTTATAAGATTCTTGTTATCAAAAAGCAGAAAAAATGTTAGTTCCTTGGGTGAAGCTCTTCCAGCACTTAGCTTTCTAAGAAAACATCAGGGAGAGCTTCATGGATGGGGCTTGATGAGGTATACTATAATTTTCCTCAATAAATCCCATTCAGCAAATGTAATATAAGGGGTTTCATAGTAGCAAGTTTGGTATAGCATCTTTCTTTCTTTCTCTCTTTCTTTCTTTCTTCTTTCTTCCTTTCTATCTATCTACATATTTATTTATTTATTTATTTTAGCTTTTTGCTATATAGCATGTGTCTGTCTATTTAATTATTTCAGCTTTTTGCTACAGGGCACATGGGCTTGCTAAGAAAGAAAGAGAGGGAAAGTGAGGAAATTGTCCCCCCAGGGACATGGCATCTGCCATGTCACAATCCCTTCTCTACCATTTTCCTCTTGGGATTTTGGGCACATACACACACATGCCCTATGTGTTTTTCAAGATGCCGGATCCAGGACTAGAACCATGTAGTCAGCCATATAGGATTCCAGCACCTTAACCACCACATCACCTGCTGGTCCAATCTTTCTTTTTAAAAATTTGCTATAGGGAGCACTTAAGAGAGAAATGGAGGTGGGGAAAGTGAAAAAGTACTCCCAGAGAGTACAGCCCTGCCATAATCCCTTTTCCTTTTTAGGGATTTTCGGCATGTATACTCATTGCACCAACTATGTTTATCAAGCCACCAGGTCCAAGACTTGAACTGAGTATAGCATTTTTCGATGAAAGCCAAGGACCCTGCACCAAAAACAAAATCTGCAGAAGCATTTGCAGTTTTGTAAGGAACCTTGGTATGGTTGAAGTGTGTCACATAGTATCTATACTTTTTTCAACAATACAACCTAATTTTTAAAAAGTAAAAGATTAATCTCATTTAGGCCATTTATTGTCTAAAAATACCATTTCTCTTAACTGAATAGCAGCTCAATGAGCTCCCTCACCACCTTCTAATGTTTACTCAGATCTCACCTTTTCAGTAAGGCCTGGGCTAGATACTTTTAAATTCTGCCACTTCCCTCCAACCTAACCTCAGTACTTCCCTTCCCTTTCACCTTTCCCATTCCCTGCTCATCTTTTTCTTTTTTCAATAGCATTTACCACCTTCTTTTTAATTTTACTTATTTTTTAATTTAAGAGAGATTTTTGCTATAGGGCACATATGTTCACCAGAGAGGAAGAGAGAGATGGAGAGGCAAAAAGTGAAGAATCACCCCACAGGGGAGATGGCTATGCCACAATCCTTTCTACTTCATTTTCTTCTCAGGATTTTGAACACGTACACACATGCGTGAGTTTTAAGCCACTGTAGTCAACTACATGGGAGTCCAGCAACATAACCATTACGCCATCTGCTGGTCTCAACATTTACCATCTTCCTACCCATTCTATGTTTTCCTTATTTATTATATTTATTGTCTGCCTTTTACCATTGGAATTTTGGTTTATTAGAGGAGAGATCTTTGTCATTTTGTTCAGAAATCTAACCCAGTGCCTCTGTCTGGACACAATAGACACTCAGAAAGCATATTTGTGGGATGAATGAATGAATTGGGAGGGCAGGTGGATCCATGTTGCAGTTTCTGGGTATATCAGGTTATCTTATTATTCTATGTTGTAGCATAGACATCAAACAAGAAGTTGGTAAGCATTTTAAAACAGAGTAGCTCTGTGGCTCCTTTCAGGATGTTGATATGATGCTTCAGGGAACAAAGGGTTAAGAAGTAGGGTTTTTTTTTGTTCATTTGTTTGTTTGTTTATTTGTTTTTTAATTTCAAGTATGGCTTGTTAACTGGAACTAGACAAAGTTTAATTAGAATTATATTAAATTAGAATTATATTTTCCATAAATAGACATATATTTAAATCAAAAGTTCAGCTGAAGGAGTCCAACCCTTAATTTATACTCTATATTGTTCATGTGTAAATAGACAATTTAAAAAGTAGTCCTCTATGCAAAATACCACAAGTTTAGAGTTAATAAAGTCTGGCTTGATTATATATGTATTATCGATATAAGGGAAAGACATTTTGAAAAATATTATATACAGATAAGCCCTGGACAGTTAGAAAAGTACATTAATGAAGCAATTTAAGTGGATAAAATATTGAACTCCATAGGGCTTTTTCTTTGGGGAAATCCCAGCTTCCTGGGGGAAAAAAATTTAAGAAGAAAGAAATCAACTCACATATATTCATGTGAGGGCAGAAAATACAAAAGTAGTTTAGAAATTCCCTACCCAAACCCTAAGTTGAACCAAGGCCAGAATGTACCCAAAATATTCAGCCAACTTTAAATCAACTAGTAATAGTAGAAGTACCTCAAAACTAAGTCGAATTGCCAGTACTTCTTTTATATTGCTCTGGAACCAGTCTCTCAACATTTCACAGTCTTGAACTTAGAGTCCCTGTAAAGGTGCATTTTCAACATGATGGCATAGGACTGATCCTCTCTTCTAGTACCTGTGGAAAGGAGAAATCTTAATCTTTTTTCTGTTTAACGCTTCTTTCCCTTACACCCAGAACAAGTCCATCCAGTAATAAGTTTTCCATATTGGTTTATTAAATTGCATTAACACAATTCAGTATGTCCCTATGACCTGGTTCTTATGCCAAGAGTGAACTCTGTGCCGAATCAGTTAATGTTCTACCAAATAAAGAAAATTCACATTTGCTTTCTTGTTAGGTTCATGCAAATATTGAAAACTCTTGGAATGAGGAAGAAGTTTGGAGAATTGAAATGTACATCTCTTTTGGCATAATGAGCCTTGGCTTACTTTCCCTCCTGGCAGTCACTTCCATCCCTTCAGTGAGCAATGCTTTAAACTGGAGGGAATTCAGTTTTATTCAGGTATGTGGGGTTTTGTTTGACTAAGGATTACACAGCATAGAATTTTCATTGTTAAGTACAGTTAAATTTTAAATATGCTCCTTATTTAAAAAGTGCATATTTATGCATCGTGCTTGGGGAACACATATTGCAGGATACCAGTTTACCCACTCTGGTTTAGTAGGTGGAAGAACAGCACCTTATACTGGAAGGTTTTGCTAGCACTGCCTACTCATCTTTAAGGATAAAGGCTATTGTCCTTAAGGAAAAAAATGTTAAAAGCGAAAGGGGGAGGAATGAGTTTAGAACAAATGTAATGCCAAAAGTCAATTTATAATTAGCCACATAAATGAAAACATTTCCTATTTCAAGTTTTCTTGATTTGTCCAGAAAAATTTCATCAATTTGCTTCACATGGGGAGAAGGAAATCTAAATATTTTCAAGGAATATGTGTGTGTGCACATATATATAAAAACATAAGTGTCAAACCAAATATTAATAACTAGGTTAATATATTGCAACAAGGACCTAGCCATATGAAACTTGTTAACTTGTTTTTACATACATACACACATATATATATATATTTAATATATCATTCACATACTGATGTATACAGGTGTCAGTAAAAGGATTTCAAACACCATTGTGTTCTTTAATAAGTTAAACATTCATCTTCTCCAGTAATAGCTATACAATAAGTTTGCATAGTTTAAAAATAAGTGAAACTTAGACCCTCTAAATGGTTTATAATACAGTATGTAGATTAGTGTCCTCTTGTAGTACACTACATTCTGTTTTGTTTCTTTGAGTTTTTTTTTTTTAAGTCATGAAAAAAAGTCTAAATTCATTTTTCTCTTGTGAAAAAAAGAGAATGTGAATGTTTTCCCAATTGCTAGTTTAATCAGACCTAGAAGAAATAGAAGACCTTTGATAAAAAAGTGTTGGCAGGTGCAAATTCTCATCATAAATTTAGATAAGTAACTGCAAACATTTTGCCTGCTAGAAAGTTGCTATTTTCCCAGTGAAGTTAGACATTACATCATTATATTGGTGTGCTATTACTTTCATGTAACAAAGTTCATTTCTCAAAGTAAGCAATTTCAAACATAATAATTTAGACAACCAAAGAATTCTACATTTTCTAGAATTAACCTATAAACTGCCTAGCTAAAGTATTCTTAGTAATCTCATTTAATATGGTCAATAAAACCATGTTTAAGTTGCTGTTGTACATTACATATTAACACTGTAGGATTTTTCCATATTTGCCTATTAACAAATGTGTGTGTGTAACTGTGAGAATGCTGGTCAGCATTTAATTTTATTATATACACACACACACACACGGTTTATCTGGATAATTTGTGAGTTGGAATAATTAATTTCTCATTCTTTGTTTCTTTTTCTTCCTCTCCTGCCCCAAGTCTACCCTTGGATATGTTGCTCTGCTCATAAGTACATTCCATGTTTTAATTTATGGATGGAAACGAGCTTTTGAAGAAGAGTACTACAGGTTTTACACACCACCAAACTTTGTTCTTGCTCTTGTTTTACCATCAATTGTAATTCTGGGTAAGGTTATTTTACTCCTTCCATGCATAAGTAGAAAGTTAAAAAGAATTAAGAAAGGCTGGGAAAAAAGCCAGTTTCTAGAAGAAGGTATTGGAGGAACAATCCCTCATCTCTCCCCAGAGAGGGTTACAGTAATGTAATGATAAATGGTGCTGATTCCATATAAAGCTCTAACTCATGTCATTATTTTTACTACTTCCTGTATATTCAGTTGCAAATGCGCTGTCAAATTACTCTGGTTGAAACCTATTAACATGAGATTTCAGCCAAATTAGAGGTAGAATTTTCTTTAGATTAATTTTCATAAATGTTATATTTTGCCAAAATAAATTTTATAGTCAGTGTACTGTGGAAATTTAGATGTGTTTTGAGTTTTTTTGCACAACTGTAACACTATTATTTTAACTGTCTCACAATCAAGCAAAATTATTTATAATTGATAATATAGGTATAATGTTAAAAACACTGCAAACCAGTAGAATTTTAAGCTTTTAATATAATTCAGTAGATAAATTTATTTTCTGAAGCTTAAGTATGGTCTTAATTATTACTCATCTTGAGATATAGAAAGGTATAACCATACATTATTTTTAAGAAAGAATATATTCACTGGACTCCCACATGGCCAACCATGGTTCAAGTCCCAGACCTGATAGCACATGCTAGGTGAGTGTGCATGCATGCCTAAGTTCCCAGGAGCAGAATTGAGAAGAGTTTGCATTGTGGCCATTCCCCCTGGTGGGGTGGTTTTTCACCTTCTCTGTCATTGTCTCTGTCTGTCTGTCTGTCTCTCTCTCTCTCCAGCAAGTGCACGTGCTCTAAGGCAAAAATCTCTTAAAAAAAAAAAAAAAAAGAAAGGATATATTATGTTAGCATCTAGGTAAGGGACCATGGTAACAGTCCTGTATTTCTCTCATAAGATAGGATTTGAGGAGTGTAATTAATTGTATGAAGCTATGTGATTATGTGAACAGGCACAAATTAAAAGACAAACCTGAAATTATACTTAAAATGCATTATTGACATGAAATACATTGCTGATAATGCATATCCCTTGAAATTTTTTTTTCTTTTTTTATTTTTCTTTATTTATTTTTACATTTTTCCACAAACATTTACTTTACATAGCAAAAAATTTTAGGTCATACTCCATAGTTCTTGACAGTTTACGAACAACTTTCAAAATACTGAATTTTAAAGATAATATTCAAAATATTTCTTATAATTTTGTATAATTTTATGACTCTATAACAACAGAAGCAGTATGGTTTCAATTTTTTTGTTTTTTTTTTTAGAGTGCAGACACTCAGTATATATTAAGTGGGGACATCCCTTGAAAATTTTTATTTATTTTTTTGTGCTATAGCACTGTTTCATTTTCAGAACTAATTAATTGATTAATATTTGGCCTCTAAAATTGATAGTGCTAATACATTATAGTACCAATCCTGGGAACTGTAAAATTGCTCCTACTTAGAATGAAAGTGTCAAGTTACACACAAATAATTGTCAGCTGATCTATGTTGTTGCAGTTTAGCCAGCTACCACTTTTCTATGGAATGGGATTTTTCTGCTGTTCGTTGAGGGACTATATTGGGATATGCCAGGCATAGTTCTAAGCACTTTACTCATCTTATTTAATACTTAAAACCACCCCATGAGATAGATAATTATTATCCTCATTTTACATAAGTAATTTGCTCAAAGTCACACAGTAAGTGGCAGAATGAGCAATCAAGTTCAGTCAGTCATATTCCCAGAGGCCAAGGCCATGGTTCTAACCTGTACGCTATACAGACCCTTCTCTATCCCTGAGTTTTTTGCTCATGATACCAATTTAAATGCATCCTCTAGTTAAAGGCATTGACATTCTCTAAAGTGGGTTGTGATTATCAAAAGATATATGGGGCCAGCTGGTGGTTTGGTGGTTAAAGTGATTGGATCCCACAGGAACAACTATGCAGTTTGAGTCCTGAATCCGGCATTTTGAGAAACACACTGGCTTCGTCTGTGCCCAACATTCCAAAAGAAGAAATGGAGAAGGGATTGCTATGTGACGGTTCCCCACGAGGGATGCTTTCTCACTTTCTCTTTCTCCCTTTCTTCCTCTTTTTCTCCCTCTGTCTCTCTCCAGCTAGCACACATAACTTCTAGCAGATTAAACAAGAACAACAAAAAAAGATGTCAAAATATTATACTCATAAACCTACTATGGCTTGTGGGATAAATCCATGGATACCACCCTGGTTTGGCTTGGGACATGAGCCTGGATACCTGTTTATATGTCTCCCTAATATAGTAAAGGATGTAGAGAGAGGACTATAGTAGTGTTAATGAATTGTTTAGGTCCTACAGAGTCTCAAAAATCCTTGTAAGGGACCAGCAGTTAGCATAATGGCTATGTCACTGGACTCCCACGTAGTCGACCGTGGTTCGAGTCCCGGACCCAGTGGCTTAAACTCACGCCGGGCGCATGTGCGTGCGTGCCCAAGATCCCGAGAGGAGAATGGAGGAGAAGGGATTGTGGCATGGCCATTCCCCCTGGGGGATGATTTCTCGCTTTCTATCTCTCTGTCTCTCTCTGTCTGTCTGGCAAGCACACGTGCCCTATAGCAAAACAAACCTCTGCAAAAAAAGAAAAAAAAAATCCTTGTAAAGCTGGTCATTTCCTTTTCTCTTCCTGAGAAGTCTTCCTGGCTGTACAACTAATCATTAGGGAGCAATTTATAACTATGAAGGATATTAGGATAAGTGGTTAATTATAAATCTACTCTAGAGACATATAATCATGAAAATTATTCATAAAGTTTTTCAGTGCTGACATTCCATATCTAAATTGCATTTTGTTCAAACCTTGGTTAGAATGCCCTATATTCTTTTTTCCATTTGCTCTTTCCTTATTAAAATAGAAAGTGGCAGGTAAGATGCAATTATATACATTCTTCTACCTGAAATTATAACATTTCAAAATGTACTCACTAAGGCACTACTGAACCCAACTGCCAAGGACTTTTATTTAGTGGAATCTACCTTTTCTTCCTTTGGCTTTTTTCATCTTATTGCACTGTAAAATTGATAAATCACTCATAATTCTCTGATGTCTTCTTTTTGGTGAACTTTAAAATCTTATACCCTCTAACTAAACTCTTCACTTTTTTGATTACTTCTCCCCTCTTGATGATCACTTGTTAGTTCTTAGGAATTCTGTTGGGTGATGACTTTCAAGAGTAATTATAGTATGATAAAGGATTAGTGAAAACAATAGCATATTTTTCAATACTTTCTTGTTCCTTAAATTTCACTCTCTTAAGAACAGATTTTGGGGACCAGTAGGTGGCATGGTGGTTAAGGCGCTGGACACTCCCACATGGCTGACCATGGTTCAAGTCTTGGACTTGGTGCCTGGCTTTCTCACTTCCCCTCTTTCTGTTTCTGTGTCTCTCTCTGTCAAATTAAAAATAAATAAAGGAATAAATTATATACATTCTTCTACCTGAAATTATAACATTTCAAAATGTACTCACTAAGGCACTACTGAACCCAACTGCCAAGGACTTTTATTTAGTGGAATCTACCTTTTCTTCCTTTGGCTTTTTTCATCTTATTGCACTGTAAAATTGATAAATCACTCATAATTCTCTGATGTCTTCTTTTTGGTGAACTTTAAAATCTTATACCCTCTAACTAAACTCTTCACTTTTTTGATTACTTCTCCCCTCTTGATGATCACTTGTTAGTTCTTAGGAATTCTGTTGGGTGATGACTTTCAAGAGTAATTATAGTATGATAAAGGATTAGTGAAAACAATAGCATATTTTTCAATACTTTCTTGTTCCTTAAATTTCACTCTCTTAAGAACAGATTTTGGGGACCAGTAGGTGGCATGGTGGTTAAGGCGCTGGACACTCCCACATGGCTGACCATGGTTCAAGTCTTGGACTTGGTGCCTGGCTTTCTCACTTCCCCTCTTTCTGTTTCTGTGTCTCTCTCTGTCAAATTAAAAATAAATAAAGGAATAAATAAAATTTAATAAGTAATTTTTAAAAAAGAACAGGTTTTAACCATTTAATGTAAAAATACAATGAAATATTTCTCAAGTTAGATGATTTATAGAAGTATATCGTTGCATGTGTATATTAAGTAACCAATAATATTTACAAAGATCATTGTTGGAAATAAAAGGGGCCTTTCAAAATATGAAAAACAAGCCTTTAAGAAAATATGTAAAAGATGCAGCTGTTGTTTCAAATGGTAGTATCTCCTTTTTGGTACTATGAAATGGAATAATTTTGAAGTTTCGGAATAAATGAAATATATGGATTATAATTCTAAATGTTTAAAAGCTTTTCTAAAAATGCAAAACTATTCATCGACTTTTAATTGCCTTATTCTTATTACTTATGTCATTATTTTTCTGAATCTTTTTTCTGAAACATTCTTCTAGCCTCAGAAGTAGACTGAATTCATTATTAGATGTGAGAAAATGGCAGTGGGAACTTCAGAGCATTGGAGATGTGCCCTTTTATCTATAAGGAGTACCCCTGAGAAAATTATAAGAATGTAGATAATATACCCAGTCTTAATGCTATGCAAAAAAAATAGTTTTTTTTCTATCAGGAAAATAACCATGAGCTGTATCATGCTACTTAGTTTTTGTGTATAGATTTCATATACCTCCTCTATTAAGAATATTTAAAGTTATGTTTAAATATGAATATATTCATGCTAATGTTTATTTTTCAAAACATACATAAAAATTTAGCCCCTATTATCTACATTTGAGATTTTTATTTAAATTTTACAATATTTAAAACTATGTATAAATTATATTTGTAGGTATTTATCAGAGATGATTATTTTGTGCTACACACAGGGTTGGCTAATGAACTACCTAATTAATTTCTTATAAATTAGCATATCCTTGACTTGATTAAGGAATTTTACTATCAAAATTAATTTGATAATAATAATTTAAAAAATACTTACAGTCAAATTATGAAAATTATTTGTGTAAAAGGGTTTCAATAAGTCATATCTAATTTTTGTATTATTTATTTCTTAATATATACCCTAATTTTTTTAATTGCCTTTTACCATTAATCTATTTCATAATAAATTCTATAGTTTTCCCCAAAAAAGAGTTTTATTTATGAAAATTAAAGTTTCTTATATGATATTTTTAAGTGCCATAAATATGATTTATAAATATTTAAGAATACTATAAACACCAAACTATACCTATATAGTTTAGTTGGCCTATAAAATATGTTTCATAAAAAGTATTTAGCCTAAAATGTTGTGTTGAAATTATTTTGTAAATTCATGACTTAAAGCAGT